ATACCAGAAATGAGAGCAGAACATGAACTCGAATTAAATATATACTTATTGTTAATTTTAAAAGACCTTATTACAGAAAAAAATGAACAAATAAATTCTATTGATCTAGCTATAACAAATCAAAAAGACATTGGGAGTCAATCTAAATAGTGCAAAAAATGCAACACAACTAACATAGACAATAAAAAACGTAATTGCTCTCAGTATAACGAGAAATTAAATATATTAGCTACTTTATAAGCAGAATTAGTTAACAAAATTAATGATACACCTCAATCAAATTCCCTCATAATAAGGTCTCATACATATGCTCAGGAAAAAAAGAGTTCATTTTTCGAGCATGTTAGCATTACACAATGATTAGAACCAGAACATAATGTAATTATTCTGGAAATACACGTACCAGATCCATTAGAACTTAATCCCAATTCAGTAAATAATATTAGAAAAATTTTTGAATATATACAGAATATTACGGAAATAAGACAAGGAATGCAAAAATGGTTACCAGTTGTTTGTGATGGTGTTCTGTATAATCTAGCTCAAAAGATTAAGAAGGACTTTCTATAGCTTATACTAATTCCCAGAGCCTTGCACGAAGAAATGAATATGCTCAAGGCATTCATAGAATTAAATTGGTATAATTTTTTTTTTGTTGATGTAGTAAGATAAATCATACCTTTCATTAAAGAATCATATGGTCTGTTATTCTGGTTTAATATATTTACTTTAAGAAAAATTGATATCAAATAGTTCGCAATTTTTCAAGAATACAGAACTGAAAACCAACTTAAATTTTTTAAAAAATGCGTAGACTATTACAAGTCGTGGGACTCTATCTGCATATTTATCAGCATGCTGTGACGTGTAAATTATTATGGCTATATGTAGTTGCAAGCGAAAACCCTTCAGTTGATGGCTATCTTGATTGGACAAAAAAGCAAAATGATCATATATATAAACTAAAATTTGAACAAGTAAGATTTTTAATAAATAATTAAAATATATCTAAAGTTCTTAGCTAATGATTATTATAGACTTTTACCTACCTTCAAGCAATCATTGACTTTCGTACGGGAATCAGAAACAATTAGCCTTTGCTGGTAAATGCTGCTCGATGTATGTTTGTATCAATATGGTCTGGGCGTAGACATCCCATATATTATTTAATTGAAGTAACTTATGAAGAGCAATTGATGTGATTAAATCCTGAGATTAGACGATATATAGACTCATATTCAGTTGTTTCACAATCAGGTTATCATAATCAGCATCAAGGCTTTAATGCTATTCTTGAATAAATCAATAAATCGTTAAAAGCTTTAATTCCACCTGTATCTTTACAAAAATATTGGAGGATAGCAGCACGTAATTGTACAAAGTTTATTAAGATAGATACTATATATTTGTACTTAAACAAAGAGTATCTATACTTATATAATTTCAAATAATTATTAGTTGTATCACATATTATTTAATATGATTGGGCATACAGATAATAAATCGTCAGGAGGTTGAACATGTCCAGATTATACCTTAGAATCACAACGATTTCGAGTTCAACTACAAAAGACTAGATTTCTGAGTCCCCAAGATAGCAATCGTGCATTTAAAAGCCTCAGAGAAGAGCATCTACTTAGCGAGAAATTGAAAAATTTTAGTGATTTAGCATGTGAAAAACAAATAATATTTATTAATAAAACTTTCATAAACAACAAGTCAAGTTCCTTATCTTGGTCAATACCTGTTACAGCTCAAGAAGAAACATTAGCAATGAATGAAGAAAACATGACAAAAAAAGAGCTTTTAACAATTATTGACTCATTATTAAATTCTATTAATATCTTAAACTATCCAAAGTATCATAGATTGCTGCAAAAAACTTGTAGTTAACTGCAAGAGATCTTGCAAAATATCAGAGATCTGCATAATAACCAAGGGCTTGAAAATGAGATAGAGCCAGAAAATTAGCAATTTATTATTAACCTTGATATTTTGCAACTGCCCAAAATTATACTAACAATTATTACCTTTAGCGAACTTTAAAAATCAACAACAATTTATCTTTGTCTTCAACAGTTACAAAACTATTCGAACGTATAAATTGTTTTTTAATATTGCTGTTTCTTAAATATTAAATTTTTTTTGTAATTCAATTATTACATATTATTGTATTACAATAGTATATCCAATTTTACCTGATATCCAATATCCGTATATTGCAATGGAGGATTATGATTGTTATAGCTGAAGCTTAAAATGGCTGAAGCTTGAAATTAGAAACCTCAATTTAAAAATACAAACCAATAAGGGTGTGGCAACATAGTGCAGTTGGCAAGTTGTCACCCCCCAAATGGCAGGTCTAGGGTTCAAATCCCACTGGTGACGATTTTGAAA